TTATGAAAAGTAATAAAATATAATTATAGAAAAAAAAAGAAAAAAGAAAATCCAAATGGAATAAAATGAGATGTGGAAAGACAGGGTGTGTTGTCCCTGTGCCAGAGTTTGGACTTTTTATGTAGAAGCCCGAGTCTTAAGTATATACGTGTTAGGAACGGATAAAGAAGTGGACACAGGGTGGATAGACACCATTTGTCAGTTTCTTACCAGCAACTAGGGGGATAGTAGATTTTCAGTAGGAAGAGGTGGAGGAGGACAGGAGTGTCTCACTGGAACAGCTAGTGAGAAAATAGAATGAGACCACCACACACCCGAGGGGGCAGGAAAATACCATCTAGGAAAAAAAAAACAAAAAACTTCATCTAGACTTTTACTCCCAATAAACTTTTTATTTTAAAAATACAGAAATAGCATGACATCAATTATTTTTGTGTTTGTTTTCTTTTTCTTTTTTAGGGGAAGACCAAAGTAATACCTTGCTTTAATCCAAACACTTTGCTACCAGGTATGCATTCATCTGATGGTAGAAGACAAAGTTTACCTTCTGAATATATGCCTCTTAAGCTGGCCTCCACTTCTAGTGACTCTCCATCATGGCTCTAGATCATTCTCCCACAGAGCGACTGGTGTGTGTAAACAGTGGGCTTTTCCATAGCAGCCTGGTGCCCTCACCACTAAGCCACTAGGACTCCTTAATTGCTAATAAAATTCTTTCATAATTAAATTATCTGTACTAGGCACCCATTTCAGCCTCCTATAAATACACAAAAGGAGCAAACCTTTTGAAAGAATAAACAATCCTTAATCCATGGAGAGTTTTTTTTTTTAATTTATCATTTGTAAAAATTACTGCCTCTGTGCAGTGTGCCAGCTAATACAATAACCTTGATCTATTTCTGAGATCATCTGTGAAGTTTCTGGAAATCCCTATTAAGAAATATACTTTATAGCTTACCTTGTAAGGTGGTGCATTACAGGGGTGATTATATTGGGATTTGCTTTCAATTGTTTTGCATTCCAGTGCAGGTAGAATTCACAAACTTGTCAAAATATAATTTAAGTTATAGGTTGTTTGATATAAAGCTATAGTCTTCTACATTTTCCTTCATAAACCAAATGCTATTTCTTGGTCTTTCAAACAAAATAAAATATATTGACACATTATATCTTTTCTAAATTTAAATTGTTCCATAGCAAACTGGGGTTTGGGTGGTAATTTGAATTATTACACATCACATTTATTCTCATGTGGAATTCTCATATAAAGCTGACTGATTGCATTGTTGTTGTTAATTGTCATTGAGTTGTAGACGACTCATAGTGACCCTGTGAACGTAAGATCTGAACATATATAACTTTCATCGTTTCTCTAAGTTCATAGAGTTTCCAGAGGCAAGCTATTTCTGAAGTGAATGCCACTCCTGCTTCCAAGTTTGTTTTAATCGGGGACCTCCACCAAACACTGTCCACCATGGGTAACCATTATCACATTTGGCACATTAGTGTCACAGTCTTTACCATCACAGCAAACACAAGTTACCTCTCTACAGCAAATTAACAGACCAGTGCTATATCATTTAGAAGAATGTTTCACTGAAAACAATGCCTTTTAAAATACATGCCCAAACCAATCAGCTCACACCCAAATTGTAAGCAACAGTCCACTCCCAAGCCTCAACCAAAACAGAACACACACATTTATAAAATCCAGCTGCTCTACTCATCTTCCAAACAGCCTCAAACTGGCAACCAAATGCCTTTTTAAATATGAGGCCAAATCCAATCAGCTTACAACCAATTGCAAGCAAACAGTCCACACCAAGCCTCAACCAAAACAAGAAAACATACCTTTGTAGAATTCAGCTGCCCCACACATCTTCCCAAATTGGAAAGCATAGATATAGTTTTATGTATGATTCCATATGCATAGTATGATGTTAATATTTTACTATTGAATAATAAATATAGAGGTAGTTAGAACAGAATGATTGAAAATACAGCCTCTGAAGCCAGTCTACCTGGATAACCTTTCTGGGATCCTGTGTCATGTCTAATATAAAATAGTGCTAAGAATGGTACCTCTGTCACTTGTTTGTTGTGTTATATGAAGGAATGTAAATGACTATACCAACACCTCCCATATAATAAGCATTTAATAAATAGTAGACTTTGCTGTAGAGTTGCTGTGAATCAACTCCATGGCAATATTGTTGTTGGGTGCTATCGAATCAAATCGGACTCATAGTGAATAACAGATCTGAACCCTGTCCTGTCCTGCACCATCCTCACTGTCTCCCATGTGCTCAAAACCAGTATTATGGTCACTGTGTCAATCCTGTTAGGAGGGATCTTCCTCTCTTTCTTTGACCTTCTGTCTTTCCCAGCATTGATCCTTGTCCAAGCAATGAGTTAGGTATACATCAGTCAGGTAAATCTTCTAATAAAGGTAATGAATAATATGGGGCACTTTTGATAAGGTAACTAAACTTTGTCTAGTCATGATAACACATTTTTAGAAATCACTGCAAGTAATAACCATTCATTGATTATGATGTTTCTTCATGATGACTAGTTTAAGAAGACATGTGATGGTATAACTTAAAATTGACGTCAGTTTGAATGGTATCATTTGGACAAATTTTAATTTAGATAGTTTTTATTAGAGTCTTATGGGTTATTGTTCATGAACTCTCTTTTTCATTGCATGCTTCCTATTGTACAGACCCTCTGCTGCGAGATTATTGGGTATATGAAGGCTCTCTTACTATTCCACCTTGCAGTGAGGGTGTGACCTGGATATTATTTCGATACCCTTTAACTATATCCCAGCTACAGGTAAGTGTGGTACTTTAAATCTTCCAAAATAGAGTGCTGAGTTAAAGGTTAACTATTGTTTCTGTTTTATGTGTAGCTCCCTTTAGATCTCTCACGTCTTTTCAAATGAAAGTTAAATGTCTTGAGCCAGTGAAAGCAATTCAAAGGTCAAGGATGAACAAAACCAGCTATCATTTATGTATACTTTTAAACTTAGTTTTTATAGAGTAAATAAAAGTCACTGAAATAGTCAAACTTTTGATTAGTTCAGCTATTCCTTTATGTGGGTTTTCCCATATGTAGAGGAGAGAAAGGTCTTAGAAGCAAAGTGAGAATGCTTTTGTGTTATATATGCCTTTGTGTTAGTCATTCCTTAGCATGCATAAGAGAATTCTGACTGCAGAGGGTAAGGGAGTGGGAAATGATACCCTGGGAAGTTCTGGGTTGTTCTTAGCTCCACTTTGATCAACTACCTCCTACCTTGAGCTGTATAGGTGCTCTAGATGCTCCTGCCCAGAGAGTTCAGGCATTGGGGTGACTCGTAAAATGGGACTCAACATCAATGTGTTATGATTACATTTTAATATTTTTATATTATGATTATTTGGAAAGAGATATTTGAAATGTCTCTTGTTCTCCAAGGATATATTCAAAGGATATTATCTGGTAAGTATATTTTCACTGAGAGTTCCTGGATCATGCAAATGATTAACATACTTGACAGCTTGTTGGTAGTCAAGTCCATACAAAGACACCTTTAAAGAAATCAAGATGATCTACTTCTAAAAAATTGTCGATTAAAAACAGTGATGCTCTGGTCAACCTTGATGCACATATTGTTGTTTTTGATGTTAAGTGCTGACAAGTAAGATTCATAGCACTCCTATGAACAACAGACCTGTGCCATTTTAATAATCTCTGACAGACTTGAGTCCATTGCTGCAGTCACTGTGCCAATCCATCCAATTGAGGCTCTTCCTTTCTTTTGCTGACTCTTCACCTTCCAAAGTTGATGTCTGTTTCCAAAGAATAGCCTCTCCTAACAGTATGCCCTGATACTACCAGTTGGTTCAGTGGTGAGAATCTTTGTCTTCTTGACATTGAGCCTCAGTCCATACTGAAGGCTGCAGTCCTTGACCCTCTGCAGCAAGTGTATGAGGTCCTCCTCAGTTTCAGCAAGCAGGGTTGTATCATCTGCATAACACAGATTGTTAATAGATCTTCCACCCATCCTGACGCCACAATTCTCCTCATAGAGCCCAGCCTCCAGGATAATCTGCTCTGCATACAGGTTGAAAAGACATGGAGACAGGACACATCCCTGGCATATACCCTACCCAATTTTGAACCCTGCTCTGTTCTGACAACTGGCTCTTGGTCCAAGTATAGGTTTTGCATTAGCACGATTAAATGTTATGGGATTCCCATTCTTCTCAGAGTCAGCCACAGTTTGTTATGATCCACACAGTCAAACACCTTTGCATAATCAGTGAAACACAGATAGATATTCTTCTGGTATTCCCTGCTTTCAGCCAAGATCCATTTAATATCAGCTACAGTATCCCTAGTACCATGACCCCTTCTAAACCCAGCCTGGACTTCTGGCAGTTCTCTGCTGATGTGCTGTTCCTGTCGTTTTTGGATAATCTTCAGTAGACTCTTGCTTGCATGTGAAATCAGTGCTATTGTTTGGCAGTTTCCACACTCAGTTGGGTCACCCTTCTTTGGAATGGGAACAAATATAGATCTCTTCCAGTCAGTTGGCCAAGTGGTTGTTCTCCAGATTTCTTGGCACAACTTGGTGAGCACACGCAGGGCCGCATCTGTTAGCTGAAATATGTCAATTGGTATACCATCTATTCCTGGGGCCTTATTTTTTGCTATTTCTTTCAAAGCAGCTTCACCTTCTTCCTTTATCACCATAGGCTCTTGCTCATATGTTGTTTCATTAAATTCTTCTGTATCTGCCAATTACTTTTGATACTATCACTCAGTATATTCCTTCCATCTTCTTTTAATACTTCCCTGGATCATTTAATATTCTGCCCAAAACATCCTTGATTATAGCAACTCTAGGTTTGAATTTGTTCTTCAGTTCCTTGAGCTTAAGAATTGCTGAACAAGTTCGGCCCTTTTGATTTTCCAACCCTAGCTTCTCACACATTTCAGTGTAATATTTTGCTTTGTCATTCTGAGCTGCCTTTTGGAATCTTCTGTTCAGCTCTTTAGTATCTTGAATTCTTACTTGTGCTTTGGCTTCTCTACGCTCCAGTGCAATATTTAGAGTTTCCTCTGACATCCATTTTGGTCTTTTCTTCCTCTTCTGTCTTTGTAATGACTGTTTGCGCTTTTCCTGGATGATACATTTGACATCCTCCTACAGCTCATCTGGTCTTCGCTCATTAGTGTTCAAGGCCTCAAACCTGTTCCTGAGATGATTCTGAAATTCAGGTGGGATGAAATTAAAGTCATATTTTGGCTCCCGTGGATTTGGTTCAATTTTCCTCAGTTTCAACTTGAACTTGCATATGAGTAGTTGGTGGTCTGTTATCACCACTGGACCAATTGGTAGCATCAGGATGGATGGCGAAGAGATTGAGATTGTTCACAGCCTCAGTTTGCTCGGCTCCACGGTCAACACTCTTGGCACCAGCAGCCAGAAAATCAAAAAACGTATTGTGATGGGAAAGTCTGCTGTTACGGACCTTTCTAAAGTACTCAAGAGTAACGGTGTCTCTCTGGAGACTAAGGTGCACCTGATACAGGCCATGGTCTTTGCAATCACTTGTTATGCATCAGAGAGTTGGACAATGACTAGGGAGGACAGAACGAGAAGTGGTGCCTTTGATCTGTGGCGCTGGAGAAAGTATTGAATGTACCATGTACTGCCAAGAAAACAAACAGATTCATTCTGGAGAGGGTTAACCCAAGCTACTCCTTGGAGGCAAGGATTCTGGGGCTTTGTCTGACATACTTTGGGCATGTTCCAAGGAGGAATGGGTCCTTGGGGACGGGCATAATGCTTGGGAGGGTGGAAGGACGGCGCAAGAAGGGAAGACCCTCTAGGACATGGATTGATTCAGTGACTGGGGTAATCGGGATGAGTGTGTCAGAGGCAGTGCAATTGGCACAGGATAGAGCAGGGTTTAGGGCTGTTTTACATAGTGTCGCTATGAGTTGCAAATGACTCGACGATGCCTAACAACAACAACAACAGTATGCTCAATAAATGAGATAATGCTTCACCATCTTTGCCTTCAAGGAATACCCTGGCTTCCCTTTCTTTATATATATGTCTGTTGTTTTTGCTTCAACACCACAGCTCAAAGACATCAATTGATCTCTGTCATCCTTATTCATTGTCCAGTTCTCTGATGCATAGCAAGATATTGAAAGGCCATTACCTGAATCAGGCACACCTTGGAGTTTAAATTTATTTCATTGGTCCTCAGTAATTTGGAGAGGTCCTTGACAGTAGACTGACTCAATGCAATCAGTCTCCTGATCCTGACTGCTGATACCAGAGTGTTGTGGATCTAAATAAGATGAAATAACTGGCAATTTCAGTCTTTTATCCATCTATCATAATGTTGCTTAACAGTCCAATAGTAAGAATTTTTGTCTTCTTCATGTTGAGATGTAATCCATATTGAAGGGTGTACTCTTTGATTTTCTACAAGCATATTAAGCCCTCATAACTTTTACCAAGCAAGGTTATATCATCTGTGTAATGCAGATTGTTGATGGATCTTCTGATCATGACTCCACATTCCTCTTCATAGGGTCTGGCTTTACTAATGATTTGCTAAGCATACAGATTGAATGCTGTCAAGTTGCTTGTGACTCATAGCGACCCTATGTACAACAGCTTTAAACCCTGCCCTATCCTGAGCCAACCTTATTATCTCCTATATACCTCTACCCATTTCTCCAGTCACTCATTCAATCCATCTCGTCAAGGGTCTTCCTCTTCACTGTCCCTCCACCCTCCCAAGCATAATGTCCCTCTTCAAGGACTGGTCCCTCCTTGCAACATGCCCAGAGTATGTCATATGGAGCTTCAGAATTCTTCCCTCTAAGGAGAAGCTTGGTTTCACCTTCTAAGTATGAACTTGTTTGTTCTCTTTGCAGTCCATGGTATATTCCATACTCTTCTCTAGCCCCACAGCTCAAAGGCATCAATTCTCTTATCATCCCTAGTCATTGTCCAGCTTTCTGATGCATAATTTCAAAGGCCTGGATCAGTCATGCCTTAGGCTCCAGTCAAACATTATTGCTCTTCAATATTCTGGAGATGTCCCTGACAGCAGACTTTCCCATTACAATTAGTCTTTTGATTTCCTAGCTGCTGGCACCAAGAGTGTTAATTGTGGAACCAAGCAAACTAAATCTTTGTTTTCTTGATTTTGAGCTTCAATCCATATTGAGGGCTGCAGTCCTTGACAGATTTAATAGATATGGGAGTTGGGGGGGATAAAACCAAGATGTACATCTTTCTTAATTTTAAACCATAAGATGTTCACTTGCCATGTTTGGATAATTACTTGTTCGAAGTATTGGCTTGATTTGAGTATGATTAATTTGTTATGATCCACAAGGTCAAATGCCTTTGCATACTCAATAAAGCACATATAGATATTCTGATATTTTCTCCTTTCAGTCAGGATCCATCTGACATCAGTAATGGTATCCCAGGTACCATTATCTCTTCCAGCTTGAACTTCTGGCAGTTTTCTGTCAGTGTACTCTTCTAGGGAATTTTTGGATGATCTTCAGCAGTATTTTGCTTGCATGTGATATTAATGATATTGATTGATAATTTCCACATTCTGTTGGATCATTGTTTGTGGGAATGGCAACAAATATACCCTCTTCCAGTTATTTGGCCAAGTTCTGTCCCCCAAATTTCCTGGCAATGACTGGTGAGTATGTTCAAGGCTGCATTTGTTAGGCGAAACATATCTGTTGGTATCCCATCGATTCCTGAGGTCTTATTATTATCAGTGACTTTATTCCAGCTT